ATATAATATGTTTATAATATGGAAGTTTGTGAGCTAATCAACTTGCATGCTGCAATACGTGTACAAAGACCAAACGTGATTTCCTACTAACTTCGTCATAATCCCAAGTCATAGCGAGCGCTACGGTGACATTCTTAAGGGGTAGATATAACAAAGTAAACATATGATAGGCATTTTGCGAATTCGTTCATCGGACTCCTGTGGAGCGTCATTCAATGCTCACGTCATCGTATCCTAATAGATCCTTCCGTTTGCGTTAGTTTGTCTCCAGACATAAGCTATATAGCTATTGTATAATAATAATACCACGAAAGTGCTCTGAATTTAACGTCCGTAACGGCCGTTAGGCATCGCATCACACGGCGCATAACACCGCCATCACTGTTGTTGCTGGAACTAATGATATAGCATCTGAAGGGGTTGGATGACTTACCGTCTCAAGTCGACCTATTTAACTATGTGTGCTTGTCTCTGATCTGTTTAAAACTTCAACGAGAAGATCTCACGTTCCGAGCGTCTTAGCCTGACAAGTCAGATCAGTAGCCTTCTCCTTCGTTCTGCATATCTGATATCACTTTGGCAGAAGTATTAGATGAGACTGAGTTAAAACGAGGAAGGAGGACGGCTCCTGAAGTGTGAGAGATCTAGTTATTCCTTCGTTACTGCTTTACGGAGAGTTACACTGAAAAACAGAGAACCAAGGAAAGGGGAAGCTCGGTAAGAGGTTAAGGTCCGTTCGTGGCGTGATTTGCTTTTCACGTTGGGTCGTTTTGCGTATTTCACAGTTATTACTACTGGCTTCTACGAATGAATGAATGAGTACCATGCGAAAGTCAAGTTCGACGTGCAAGAGACTGTGTGTGGATGTTTTTTATGTGTTTCAGTGCGACCGCGCTCTATTGCGGGGCATAATGATGTGCACGCGTATCAGTCATAGTGTGACGGTACCATGTAAAATGTGCTGACTCCGGTAACTATAGTGGTGCGATCCCTGTGCTCAGAGTTCAGAGTTATCCGTACGCTCATTTTCCATGCAGGTTCTTATTGTAATTTCCGCTTCAGGAAGCTCCAACTGCAAAAGACATCGAAACGCTCTGCATGGTCAGTATATTTGTCTGTGAGCAACTGTGTATATAGAATAAAATCCACTATGTATTATAAGATATACAGACCTTCTTACACAACCTAGAGTCGAATAGAAGATACGTATCTTCATGCTAGTTTATCGCGGACCGTGATAAGTCATCTATTATCGGACAGTCATCATACTGAGCACGAGAGCTGACTAGTCAATTAGCTGATGGGCATAAGGCATAGCGAACGATGATACATAGCGCATGAATGAGTAAACCGGAAAATACGCACGTAACCACCGACGTCGAGTAAGAAGCGGCAAATGAGTCGCCATCGGACGCGAACCACTTCCACCAATGTTAAGTCAATAGCAATCATAATGATAGCTATGCCTAGATAGTATTTGAGGTTTTTACAGTTGATTTAATTCCCACGGACTGGCACCGGTCGCACGTTGATTTGCGTCTGACCTCGCTAACGACATATCTGCAACTCTAATTTATAGTGTTTTGAGTGCTGCATTTTTATATACAGATTATAGGTATGTAGGTAATTTTTTACTGTGGGGAGCAAGAGTGTTTGTAGTTCTGCAGATCGGACAAAAAAACATTAACAGCGTACATAGGAGAGCTATGTAGGATTAGGATGACTAATGTTTACAAACATAGCCAACGTCACGATCCCTCACGCCTTCGGATCGCTGATTGCACGTGCGCTTTCTGGCATTACTTCGAAATTTTTTTTCTCTGGATGACCAATACAGTCAGTACTACCCTAGATCTTTTCTAGTATAAACAATTCAATTCGTGTTTTTCTAATCTTCGTCCATTGTTAATCCGTAACTGCTTGGAACCTTTTCGATCAAAGCGTTTGATTAATGAATGAACCAGATGCTATAATAGTCAAATCGTTATCGTACATACAAAATTGGATTGAGTGCAAAATTCAAGGAGGGTGTAGGCAAAATACCTGGCTGCCCGCGTTGTATTATTATGAACACCGAACAAGATGGGGTGTAGCCGTCGTCAATTTTCGCTAGATGAGGTTTTAGCTTTGATTCTCTGCTCATCGTTGGTGCAAGACTGATGTTTTACGTCGACACGTGACTAGCGTACTCTTTTAACGCTCGTAGGATCAGTCCCGTCAGCTCTTGACATTTGTGGCAGCACCACAGGGATAATATTTGAGTCGTGTAGAGGCTGCCTTCGGCTGGGAAGCCTATTAATAAAGCCTCAAACCCAAGGTTGACAGAAGTCGTCGTTGCTTGTTTAGCTTTGACGTCAAGGTCAACTGGAGATCGGATGCAAGGGCAGGTTCGCATCAAAAGCTGGAGAAGCCCGAAAAGGTGGGCGCACCTTTAAGTCCACTCATTCCACGACTATGCGCGTATCTCACATGTGCAGAAATGTAAGCGGAGATCCTTCGGAGAAAAGTGTTGGTCAGTAACAACTCTGGATAGATACTATCAAAAACGCAAATGGCAAAAAAAGAAACAGTTGCTTAACCAGTCCCTTATAAGTGCTCGGGCTGACATACGATGTCTACATATATGTTCACATTGTGTAAGTCTTGGATACAGCTACATGTGCTTGAATTCGAATCTAATTACTGCGCACGATGTCTATTGTGTATGGCAACATGTGAGTCCAGTGATCTTGCCACCAATTGGCGCCATGGTCTTCCCGCTGTTTAAATTGCCCTATCCCGCGTTGGTTTCCAGGATTTCTGAGGTTTGCGTTAAACCTACGTTTTTCGTTTCGGGCTCCCCTTCTTTCTTATACTTAACTTCCTAGACATCTGAGTGCACTGGCAACGGCAGCAACGCCATCACCTCCATGGAATGGCGTCCCTGGCTTTCTACGGAGGTTAGTCGGATCGTCCACAAGAGTTACCAGGTATTATCGCCAGGTCGGAAGGTTCGTTCTGGCACCCTGTCGCTCTGCAGGTCTGCACACTCGGACGCTTCGAAAGTCGGATGCTCTCCAGCGATAGCCAGCCAGGTAGCCAACCACGGACAACCCAAGAGCCGAAAGGCGTTAATCTCGTTTACTGCTGAGGATAGGTCGTGTGGCTTGCTTCAACCCTTTGATCCAATGGTGAGGCACTCTCCTAACCTGCTCTCTTCTTTTATCCCTCATTTTCTCTCACTGGCGTTCGCCAAGCAACAAAGTTCTATGCTTCTTTGCCTATCCTCCTTGTCTTTTCCACATGGTTTTCTCCATCACGCAAAGATATTCTGCAATTCGTTTCCGTGGATTGCCTAGCTCAGTGGATTCTCTGCAGCTGGGGCTCAGTTTTTCAGTATTTTGCGTTTAAGTTAAGATGAAGGTCGACTGCTAGCAGGCAAGGTTTTGTCAATACCCGTAACTGCGGCTAGGTCTGTATAGAAAGACGCTCATAGCTACGGCGCCGACGGCAGCTACCGCGCCAGCAGCGGCTGTATGAAAAGGCGTAAAATGAAAGTAGTTGTAAGAGAAGCAACGATAGTTGCATCGGAAGCGACACACGAATACAGAACCCTGCGTTAGGAACGCTGGTTGTTAACCTTCGGTCCGTTCTCGCTTGTGGTGCTGCTTGACCCAGACCCGCTTGGAAGAGACTGACTAATGAATATGAAAGACGACAATGATACAAGTGTCAACGGAACACAAGCTTAGATGATTAGACGCTTGGGGCTGCTAAAGGATACTGTTTACGCAGCTCCCGATGTACGGGCTCTATCCAGTAATTTATTGCGGCAGTGAACACGGCAAATGGAGCAAGAAACAAGTAAAAAGAGGCAAACTGAGGTGTGGCTGCAAATTTCTGGGGGTGCCACTATGGAGATAGGGTAGGAAAGATCGATGAATGCGAGGCAGCAAATGACATAAAAGGATATAGTGGAACAGAACGAAAAAGTTAACTACACTAAAGTGGTGAGGTGTGGGCGCAGATCGGAGTCGAAAGCGCGCACACTTATGATCATCGTGGCAGGATCGGCTGCGATCTCCTTCCAGCGGTGTATGCCACCAACCTCAAAAAAGCTTCCTGGAGGTAAAATGCTGCTTCCGTGACCAGGACTACCGGTTTTTGTTGCCACATCCTAATATAATAGTACTAGTAGTAGTAATCATTGGTTCTGCCTATTCGTGGCCAGCGGTAGCAGCAATGAGAGACTGTTCACAGTCTGTCTGTCTCTTACCGTCCCGGGGCGGTGGCAACGTTTTTTGTTTAACCTGGCGACCCGTCTGTTAGATCTCGCCTCTGAAATCTGCTGCACCGCTGTATTTCAGGCCACTATTTCCAGTTCTCATAGAGTTAGCAGGCGCTGGGAGTAGCCGACATTCAACACAGCTTCGCTGATTCTCTATCTTAG